TAGATATATATATAGATATAGATATATATTCAACATCTGTAAACCTCTGAATTTTTGTGTTTCGTGAGTCCCTGCATTTTCTTTTTTTTTTTTGTCATTTGCTTCTTCTTTTTTTTTAATTCAATAAAACATAATCCTACCTATTAGATTAATGTTTTTTCTAACTGATGTAACAAGATTATCTCTAGTAATCATTTGGGCTGACAATGCTTTTATGAAGATGACGAGATTAATATGAGAGGGACATCTTTCTGTATGTGTGACCACAACCTTACATAATGTAGTCTGCCACTTGACATTTCTTATGAATAAAATGTTGTTTTATCTATATTCATCAACATTGTTTTCTGCACCCTACTTTACATATTTATGTGACATTTAAAGCATTGTTCTGGTTATTCTGGCCTTGTGTGATATATATATTTTTTTTTTGTGACTACTTTTCAGCTTGGTGTTAGCTCTGTTTTTGACTAACATACCATATTTTATTTTATTTTTCAACCAAAGGCACAGATGAAGATGTCATGAAATCAAAGAAGACTTTCCGAAGCCAGGCTGCTGTTAATCAAAATGCCGAAACTGAACTAATGCTGGAAGGGGATGATGATGCTGTTAGTCTGCTTCAAGAGAAGGAAATTGACAACCTTGCAGGTAGACCATCTTTTTCACATTTACAAACAAAGCTGCCATATAACTGAACTGAAAGCAGTGATAGATTTCTGTTACACAGGTCGGAGGAATTGAACTATTTATATATAAAATAGAGGGCAGAGGGAACAGAGTGATACAATTTAAAATACCTCTGTATTTATCTCTTATTGTTTAGATACGTGTTTGCAGAATATGTTCCCTTGCATGTAATATGATTTTATTCCTTACTTATTTACAATATATGACACAGTACACTGTTTTAAAAGCTCTTTAAAAGCTCATGTTACATCAGACTTGAAACCTAAGGAAGTAAAGCAGCCGTCTTGTATATTACTCCTTTGCCCATGCATCTTATTAGTTTAGCAGCAGTAAGTAGCAAGTCTATTAAGTTGATGGTTCGAACTCTCTGACTTGTTTGCTAGGTTCACAAAATAGCTTTCAGCATTATATATCTTACTAAAATGTCCAATTAGAAAGCAACTTGGGGGCTTAATTGATAAGAACTGGAAGTAGGAATATGCTCCCCTCTCCACTGCAAAGAGTCAGATCCAAACTGTAATTGTTCTTGTTATAGAACATTATAAAACCTGTACCATGATTGGGTAACTTCTCCACTTTTTTTTTTTTATTATAGAAAACAAACATCAACCCAGGTATGGGAGGAACTGGACAAGCTCAAATGTGTCCACTTTTTTATAACTAAGCAGTGGTCATTATTATATTATTAGCTTTTCTATAGCGCCAGCAGTTTGTGCAGGACTTGGCAATATAAAGGGAGACAGTGCAGTTGCAATACGATTCAAGATTGGTGGGTTAGGAGGGGCCTGCTCGTAAGACCTTACAATTTCATAGAGGTCTTTCTGTCCGTTCTTTCAGCATTTGTTGCGGAGTGGATGTAAAAAAGCTTTGTGAAAGCATGGAGTATTGTGTTCTTAATAGCTTACATTTAAGTCCCCAGGATCCTACAGCAAACGGGTAGTAAAAAAAGTTAAATTGATATAAGATGGCTACTGCTGCTTATGTCTGTTCTCCACCCCTCAAAAAAATCAAGCATAGTTCCTTTTAGTACTGTATGATTAGTGTGGATATATTATTTGGTATTTTTATGTGTTTGAAGTCAGTCTGCTAAGGAAAGGAAATAACCTACTTTTATCTAGTACAAACTCATGATAAGCACCCCAGCCATCCAAACTCCTCATCTCTCATGTTCTTTATACACAGTGTATCCTTGCCATGTGTCATGCGCAAACTATATGTTATGTTTTATCCTTTCATCCAAAAAAAGTGGAAACATTGGAACGAGATATTGAAATGTCAAAGTTTCAGATTTTAAATATTTCTGTTTCAGCTTTAGTTCCTTTGGAACCCAGACTGTTTACATCAAGAGGCAAGTTTCATAGTATTTTAGTGAGCTTTGTAATATTACAGTAGTGCTATGACATTCAGTGTCCCAATCACATTTATAACACTTAACAGTCTGTTGTGATTCCAGTTAATGTTCCTGTCCCTGAAGTACAACTAACTTTTCCTCAGTGTAACTCCTCATAAATTGGTCTATATAATATAGTACCAGCCTTACTCCATTGTGGGTAATAAGGCCCCTTTCACGTGGACACCTTCATGCACAGATCCCCTGATGATCAGAACGGTGATATCCATGTCTGTCCAGTTTTATTCTCCATCTTACTATAGAGGAGAAAACTGAAATTACCAGACCCATGTTGGTCTATGGGGAATCAATTGTAAACGGACATGTGTTCATCAGGTTACCCCCAATCCACCACAATCGGGTCTGCAGTAACGGAACTCTGATCTGTTTGTATTTCTGGACCTGGCCGGGTTGGGAGGTAATCGGATGTATTTGGATATACGCCTGTTTAGATCTGGTCTGCCCATAGACTAACATTCTTCTTGCGGTCACATCCGCTTGGAAAAACTGTCGGGCTGACCTGATCAGAATGCCTGTGTGAAAGGAGCCTAAGATGTATTCAGCCCTGCTGTACAATTCTTTCCCCCAGATGCCATAACCATTCTGGTTGATCATTTCATTTTAGAACATTCTTTAGATAAAGTAGTGCCACTTGATTGGATCAATGTATCTTTCAAAACTAAGAGTCCTGAATCACTGCCTGATTTAAGATATGTTCATATCTACACAGTTTAGTTCCTTTTACATTTTTTTAAGTTGTACTCAATATTAAAGCCACATATTTTTGTAAAATACCTGCCAGCCTTCTGCAGTCCCTGTACAGCATAGCTTAAGGAGTGGAGGAGTGAGAAACTGCACCAGGGGCCAATCATGTGTGCTGCATGTGGTGCAAGGAGCATGACAGATGAGCTAAGCATTTATGTAAAGTGCATAAAAAAAGAAAACTCTTGCGGAAACTATATATCTTTTCCACACTAGATTAAAATTATAATCAAACCTATCCAGCATCTGACACTCAAAATGTGAAACAACACATAATACCAACTATAAAAAAAAGTTTTAAACATAATGCACAGCACGGTCTTTGAACTATAGCTAGCAGGTTTAAAAGGGCCAATAGGAGGGATTTTGGATAAGCCAACCCCCTCACTATAAAAGGTGGGGGCACATAGTGTCACTGAATAGGAGGCTGTTGTAGGGAAAGCATAGGAAATACTGACAAACTAGATAGGGAGAGATTAAGGTCAGTTAGGAAATGACATTAATTCTGATTGTTAGCTCTTTGAGCATTCAACCCCTTTTGCTGCTTATTATTACTGAACAAGGGGCATCCACCGCAAACAAGTGCCCTATTTTTACCTGCTGGTCAAAGGAGATCCATTACCAGTGATGTAAAAGCATGCATGACTGCTAAAGCTACCTGAAAAAAACGTGTTTTTTTAAAGTGAAATGAATCAGATTGGGGTACTGCTGCTGTATGTAAGCCACGCTAATTGTAAAAGAACAAAATCAATTCTACAGCCAAATATGTACTGTTAGTGTACGCTGTTGCTTGGTTGGCCTCTCAAATCATATTGTTTCAAAACACCACATACAGATTTAGGGCATTGTCCAAGAATATTATTTAAAGGATTTGTGTATTTGTGCCAGCCTCTGAGGCCTGATTAAAAAAACAAGCAAACGTTGGTACGCGTTCTCCATGGCAGTGCCCAGCTTCCTATTCCCAGTAGCTTGCCCATTAGAATGAATGGCATCGCACTAACACAAGTATGTGTCTTGCGGAAACATGTTCTCACAGCCTAAAAGTGTGAATGCCTAAACAAAAGAGGCCTCCTTCCGGCGAAAGCGCACAGTATATGGTTACTATTGATCCTGGGAATTGCATCTTCCCCTTTGTAGCCACAATTCACACTGTATCCATATGCCCATCCCCATGCAGCCCCATCTTACTTTTCTCCACCTGCAGCTCATAATGCCTCAACACCCCTCTCTTCCCCTCAGCTATATTACCTTTGGTAACAGAACTGCCATCCTAAAGTTACTCCACCCTTGTAGTTGCTTATTTTCATATGTGGCAGATAGCACCAACAGAAAGAATGCCAAATAATATAGCTTTCGGTGTTTGTTGTGGAACCAACTGGGATCTGCCCTAACACCAGCAGACTCCAGGGCAACACCAGCACTGCCCTCTTTTTTCTTTCTTCAGTATCGCACCAGTTTTAATTTACTGCTGCCATCTTCTTTCTCCACCTGTCAGACCTCTAGCGCAGAGCCAAAAAAAGTGCTCTAAATCTTCTCCTTGGCTCTGTGCTAGAGCTCTGACGGGTGAGGACATGTTTATGTGCTGGGTACAGACCATTCAAAATAGGGACTGTCCAAGGCAAATGGGGATGAATGGTAACAATATCTCACATGCTTTGCTTTTTCTCATGTGAATTCGGGCTGCATAATTCAGGCTAAGTAACAAGCTATTTTTATCTTCAGTTTTCACCGGGTGAAGGGGGTAGATTGTGCTTTCATTACATATGTAAACATAGCCCTCTCAGGGTTCTGTCAGGACAGCATGTGACATTATTCTTGCTGGTGAAATGCTACTTCCTGGCACTTCATTTGCCATGCTTTTTTTCCCTTCACATGATGATGTCCTTAACTGAATAAAAAGGCATGCACATTTAACAGAAAACTTTTGCTGAAAGTTGAGATCATTGTTACATTTGCTTTTTCTTTTTTTTCTTTTTGTAAAGTAACAGTATTAAAAATTACCTTTCCTTTATGCAGTCCGCTATGAGACTCTCTGACAAAATGTCAACTCCATGCAAACATAGTTGGTATTCTCTACACTGTCTGTATACTGAATGCTCCCTGTACTGATTGCCCATTAATGTTATCTGCTTAATGATTTATTCACATCGCTTAATAACTTCACAACAATTGGTCTGGTCATATGGTTTCAGGGGGCAGACCCTACCCCTTAGCACTCTCATTTTCTTTACTCTAATGTAATTATTGCAATGACCTATCTTGCTACCTAGATAGCAGAAACAGGTAAGAGTCGGCAACAAAGTTTGCTTAAATCTTTGCGTTGTATATAATTGATCTGGAGTAGACTATCTCTGGAACAGTCAAGTTTTTCTTTAATGAATTGTGAGAGAAAAAAAGTAAACTATGAAATGATTTTCTCATATAATACATGCTTTAATGATCTTCAGTGCATCAGTTGCAGTGTCTGAAATAAAAACTGCCTTATAGCATCCAGTCAGATTCAAGATTTTATTTGTAATGTTTTTTAAATGTGATTGTTGGCATCAAAGACATTTCCTATTTATGTCACTTTAGTAAAGTGTGGTGTCATGCTTATGAACACATTTATTACAGTAGCACTTGTTTTCATGAAACTATTATAAATGAATGCTTCTATAATTGACAGATCCTAGTACTGTTGTAAGGACTATTTCATGTAAATATTCCACAAAACATACAGAGCCTAATTTAGTAAAGGGTATGATTTTACAATTGCACTTCAATTGTGCAAACAAGAATAGTGTATGAGCATGGAATATACTATGGGGGT